TACACACATAAACCTTAACTAATTAGAGTCAGTGAAGTTTAGTCATTACTGGACAGTGACCTGTAGGGGGCTTCAGGGAGGAGGAGCTGGTCTGACGTTTGACCAGAAGTTGAAGCTGTAACAATATTTCCTGCCATGAGAGGGCGACACATGGACGCTGGAATTCTGGGATTTATCGGATAAATGGATAAAAATCTGATCAATATTATTTTGACAATGTATGACGTATGATTCCTGAACGCAGCAGCTTTGGTCGTGGACTGAAGTGTCCTGACACACACACACACACACACACACACACACACTCACACACACTGTGTCTCAGTGGACAGTTGGCCTGTTACGTGAGTCACAACAAGGCGGGCGGCGCCACAGGAGGCAGGAGACAAGGTCACACCGAGACATTCAACTCTGTGTGTCTCACTCCACACACACAGCCAGCTGTCCTGCTGCCACCACCTGGCCTGGAGGGAAACTACAGGACGACGACTGGAAAAAAAGGTGGTTCGAAAAATCAGACTTTGGAAAAAGAACGAGTGAGAGTTTGATTTCGTACTGTCTGTGTGTGTGTGTGTGTGGGTGTGTGTGTCCTTCAATCATTCAAACACACACACACACACACGTCCGGCACATTAACATAATGGACGGGAAAAGGCAACCGGCGACGGCTGCTTATTATTCCACATTGACTTTAAAATGAGCCGTGATTGTGTGTGTTTCAGCGCCGCGTTATTTATGGGCCGCAGGACGTGGGCGGCTGATTGGAGAAAAACGGAGAGTTTAAAGAGACGCTGGTTTAAGAAAAAGGTGTTTTAAAAATAAATAAATACATGGATTAATTCATTAAAAAAAAAACAACCTGTAAGCAGGAGAAGGAAATAAATAAAAATAATAATAAATAAATTTGAACGACATTGATCCCATATTTTGGGAAACTATTGTGTTAGCAGCAGATATGCTGTTAACAGGCTGCCCCTAGGTGGCGCTAAGCATATGGTTCCTCCTGGAATCGAACCCAAGACCCGCTACACTATGGAACCGACCAAAACGCACAGATTACGGTATGGAACCGACCAAAACGCACAGATTACAGTGTGAATATTGTATAAATCACTCCTCAGATTCTGGACGGTCCATTTTCTGAGTCAGTGATGTCACTGATCCAGCCCTCGACCCTCCACTTGATCTGAGGAGCTGGAAACCCTGGTTTGGACGGTAGAACTCAAAGATGCCAAAGTGAGGACATTAACACGAGTCCAAGCGTCCTTAACCGCCGCTCGGTGATGAAAAGCACTAATTAGTCCAGTCCCAGCGCCATCCTTCTCTCTCACCCGCCGCACCGACAGAATCCACTTTATGTATTTGTTTTTCAATACTGACAAATTCCCCGACGCGGCTCGGCTCGTCGTTCAGTGTTTCTGCCGCTGGAAAACTAAACAGAAAGTGATCACAGAAAGCATTAGGTTCCATTTACTGCAGAAAAGCATAAGAGATGATTCTAAATAGAGCGAGTGCGGGAGAATAACGCCGTTTGGCATCCATTTATATGACAGAGGCTGCAGCTTTTATTTAATAGCCCATATTAATGGGAGAAGGAGTGGAAGAAGACGGGGGAAAAGAGCAGAGCAGACAGGAAAATGGCAAATTAAGGCGACCCACACAGAAGATGTGACTCTAATTGAATAGACCTGGTGGTCCTGATGTGAGCCGTGGTCCGGTCTGACTGGATTTCAGGTGAAAACAACGACTATAATTTCAGTTTATTAAAATGAATGGTTTTTGCATTGGTTTGAACCGAGGTTATATTTTATTTAGAATTTCTTTTGCCTGAATATTTATAGTAAATATGTTTTGTTTTGTTTTTTTACTACAGCCTTTTTATCTCATCTACATCACCAGCAGATGTAGCTAAAATCCACAAAAGATACATTAAAACGTGTACAGTTCTGTAAACTTGAAAAGTGAGATTGTTTTTGGAGGAAAATGGTTTAAATAAAAACAACATTTTAAATCTTTTAAATCTGCCAAAAACAGTTGTTTGTTTTGTTACAAATATGTGGTTTTACAGAGACCCAGAGGGAGAAAATAAAAAAATGAATTTGGACAGTTTGTTGTTTTTTGCAGACATTAAAAGTGAAAGTTTTAAGAAAGTAAGAAAAATAAGGAACAATTTAAAAAAAAAAACTTCTCCAAATTAAAATGCTAATTGTTTAGTTGTTCCCGACAGTGGTCGGTGTAATTGTGTTAACTGTGACATTTTCGCTAAACACGACTAGAAATTGACAATTTAATTTCTGTTTTTCTCCTCAATCAAGAAAACCGAAAATAAACTCCATCCACACGTCTTTCTCCCTTCGTGTCTCTGTCCAAATTTCAGAGGAAAAAAATAAATAAATAAAACATTGTTGGACATTGATGGACATTGATGGACATTGATGGACATTGTTGGACATTGGAGAACATAATAATAAAGTGACGGCAGAGTAAAAAACTGAGTTTCTTCCACTAGAGACAGATTCATCATCGTGACCTTTGGGGTCGACATTGTTAGGAGGCACTGGTGAGGCACTGGTGAGGCCTCTTAAACAACAAAAACATAGATATGAACAAATATATTGACAATCAAAACATTTAATGATATTGTTATGAGAGAGACAGAGTGTCAGGGCCACAGAGTGTAGGAGAAGGATTATATTTTTTTTTTTATTTTATTTTATTTTAATTTAACACCAAAAGTCGGTGACGATGCCTGTCCTCGGTTGAGATTTGTCTTCGTATCACAAGCAAAATCTTGCAATAGTTGCAGACTCGTATTTCGAGGGTTCACTGTGATGATGATGATGAGGATGATGAAACACCTGAGAAAATAAATTTGAACTAAAACTCACATCAGTGTTTTTGTTTGTTTCTTATTCTGTCTCTTTATCTGTAGTGTACACCACTAATACTACAGTACTGCGTATACTGACAGACCAACTGTAGTACAGACTTGATAATGATCTCACGGGCCAAATATAATTACTCTGTGGGCCAGATTTGGCCCGCGGGCCTGAGTTTGACACAGTCTGACTGCACCAACACTGGATTTTTTGCTTCTGGTTTTTTGTTTTGTTTTGTTTGTTTTTTTCGCAGCAGTTGTCACCGTCGGCCGACAGCCGTGTTTTGACACGGAGGCAGGAATCTTCCAGCAGACCTGGGCCTGTTTCCTCTCACCTCTTGTACCCGAGCTGTGGAATACGTGAGCGAGCAAAGGCATATTTTTGTTAACGGGGCCTGAGCGAGCGGAGGAATGCAGCGCGGCGCGGCGCCGACTAACAGGCAGACAGATGCCGTGAGTGTCTCTCAGCTGAGTGACAGCGCACTGTCAGGGCTTTTGTGCGGCTCTGCTGCTGCCTTTTCATTTCAGACGCTGCCACAGAGAGAGGGGACTCATTCATGCAGCGGCGGCGGCGGCGGCGGCGGCGGCTGAGTGTAAAGGCACCTAGGAGGCATCTTTGGGCTTGTCAGCCTCAAGAAATCTGAGCCAGGCAGCCAAAAAAAAAAAAAAACTGGGAACGTGAGTGAGAAAAGTCCCCAAAAAAAAATAGCAGCTGTCTCTGCATAATGGCAACAAATAGGAGTTTGAACATAAAACCAAGACGACGAGCGGGACGTACCGTGACAACAGAGCGGGGAGTAGAGCGCGCCGCGGCCGAGCTGTCGTTTGGCTGGGCGACTCCTAGTTCCTGTCAAACTGAAGGCCGGCTTTCATCCAGTAGGTCGCAATTATGTGCTCCTATGCCCCCCCCCCCCCCTGGCCCCCCCACCGGCAGCCCCTCCGG